AACTTTAATTTAAAATAAAGATTTCATTTTCCGAGGACTAGTCAATTAAAAAACTGCATAATTTAGTTTTTTGTAAACTTTTGATGTTGGTTCTGCGCAAAAAGACTGTGGATGGCGTAGCCGGAGTTATATGCACAAGAAATATTGTATATGTATCTTTCCCAATAGAAGCAGAGCTTCCTCCCCTTCTCTTTCCGGAAATTCCTTTGATTATGTCCTCATTCTCCCTTATCAGCTTGACCAACAGCGCAAGTTGCCTTTTGTTGATTATAATTTTTGATCTGTATTTCAGACACATACATACATATGTATATTTCACAATTTTTTACAACTTCCAGTTCAATTGACTTACTTTTTATCCATTATAGTACCACTTTCTTATGTAAATTTTATAAACGCAAACTCCAACGACTAAAAAACAGCAATAGAAGGATGAGCGATTAAAAAGTATTCACAGTCGCTAATTGAGCGACTAAGCGACACTCGCAATAGCATCGATAATCGATAATCGCTTAATAGTCGTTTATCTACTGCCAGTCGACATTCGCAATAGGGGTGATAGTTTATGTGTCTATGCATACGGGAGAGAAGAACTATGAGCCAAAAGAGCTATTCTACGATCCCCTCCAGGGAGCGTTTGAGCGGTGCGCACGATGTCAAAATATTGATTGGAGCCTTAAATGCTCGCGTGGACAAACAACGCATATTTGGTTCAATAGTCGGGAACTTAAGCTTTAAGCTTTATTTACGCACGTTCTTTGCTGGGAGCCAACATCGCCTCAAATCGAGATGCGACTCTGCGCAAGAAAGAGCCAGCGTACATATCAATATCTAGAAGCTGCAGTGAGTAATTTCGCTCTCGGCCCTCAATGATGTTTAAACAAGAAGCTCCTCCTCGGCCGGATATAAAAGTGTTGCGGGATACGTGGAGAAGAGATACGTATTTTCCAGAAGGAGTACAAAAGCCAGGCAGAAATTCGTGAGTGTAGAACTTGAGATAATAGTTTCTAGACCGGAGCTGGTTTCTGCCGAGACGAAGATGGAAATCTGGTAACATAAGATGGAAGAAGAGGAACCTAGGCCAATGTATGGGGGACAAACCTCACGTCCATCTACTGGCTATTAATCAGTTAAGCTGAAATGATTAATACAAGACCGACGATTCGCCAAATCCACAAGAAATGGTATCCTGCTTTCTACGCCAATTACCGAAATAAAACTTCTTTACATTGCATACAAGGTTCTATCAGCGGTTTTGTGCGAAAGACTGCAGCCCTTCTTGAACTAACGGATTGTAGTATATCAGTGTGGCTTCAGGCCATGGAAATCCACCGTTGCCCAGATATTCGCAATGAGTCTAATTCTGAGAGAGAAATTAGATACCTAAATCGACACCCACCATTGGGATTTTGTCTGCTTAAGATTCAGCATTAACACCAACTATAATGTCAGCCTGGAAATCAAGTGAAAAATAACTCTATCCAGCAGGTGCTACTATTCTAATGACATCACGTGATCGGCAGGATTTGAAGAAGACGGTCTAACGTGCACTGGCTTGGATCTACCGTTCGCATTAATGATGATGCTTCAGTGAAGCGACATTTTTACTTAGCGTCTTCGGCTACTTTCTTGGTTCCGCAGAAAGCAATAGAGGGTGTGCCGAGCCTCCTCTCGTGGATCTTTTCCAAGGTAAAGGTAGACTTACCGGGCCCAGAACTATACTGATAACCCCCAATCAGTTCGCTGATTGTGGGCTTCGGCCCTTTAAAAAAAGAGCTCGATAAGACCTTATGCGTGACGTTTTAGAGGTCCGCGTTGGTTGGCGCCATGGTTTCAGTGTTGTTACCATTCAACAGGGTGAAGAAGTGTTCCCTCCACAAGTTAGGAATGTTCTGGACATCGGTCCCTTGGTTACCGTGTTTGTTATTACAAAATAATTCATCGTGGTCTTAAAAACTTCCGTAAATCGCCTAGCGTTTTTATAAAATTGTCGGTCGTTCTTCCTTTAACAGATTTAGGGCCGGTAACTCAATGTCTAGTTAACACTAACTGCAGGTTAAACATCGTTATCGACTTACCGACACTATGTTATATGCATGGAGTCGAAGACGTCGATAACGATGTTTAACCGCAGATTAGTGTTAATCAGACATTGAGTAACCGACCCTTAAAGCTCTTCACACACACATCTTCCCGCATCTCTTTTTATTTCGGAAAAATAAAGCTCATGTTGCGTTTGAGCTCACTGTTGCATTGTAGTCTGCATGCATACATATATCGGTTAGTTAAAGAGTTCTCTCTCGCAGCAGGAGTAAGAGTCGAGTGGAAAAGACGCTCGGCATTCTGTTTTGATTGTATCTTTTCGTCGTTGGCCGTTCCTTGTAATGTTGCGCGAACGCATTTTTTTCTACACAGACGCCTGTGCTTATCTTATACCATGTTCTGACCGACATCGAAAACATGTTTTCGTTGCTAAAACTGGTTTTCGACTTAAAACTTGTGTTTTCGTCCATGTAAAATCTGTCAAACGAGAACCAGTTTTCGCTGAAAACTACTTGAAAACTCACGTTCCACTCATTCCAATCGGTGTCTTCACTAGTTTTTTTCGATTATTTATCGAAGTGGAAGTGATATTTTATCATCTTTAATACGCCATTTCGGATTCATTGTTAATTGGCTGGCAAAAGTAAAATAAGAATGAAAGTAAGAGTCTGCTAATGAAAGGAAAATGAGCGAAAAGCATTTTGGTTTTGTTTTTGTGTAACTAAACTGTAATCAGAGAATGTAAGAAATGTCAACGAAAACACTAACAGCCGGTGTGAACAGCCTTCTGCCCACAATCCCAAAACACGTTTTCAAAGTGTTTTAGTTGTCGGTCAGAACATGGTATTAGCTGCCTCAAGATGGTGGCCCAAGTCAGCGTCCAGAATACTGGAATCGTGCCTTCTATATATGTTTCACAAAATTATCGATGCATCTACATAATTTCTCGCTTTGCGATCTGGAGACATCCATGTAAATTGATTATTTAGTTTAGTTATGCTACAGCTTAGTACTCCAGACTATCAAGTTTCGGGCGCCAGTCTCAGTCTTTTATCAAATGTTTGCGTGAATGCGGACGCAAGTATGTATATATAGGAATTGAGAACAGTACAGCACGTGTAACTGCATAACCAAAACTTCACATGCCTCATTGCGTTTACTTTTGGGACTTAAAAATTTTAAAAAAGTGTACATGAAAATAAAACGATTTACAGCGTTTCCAAGCGCCATACTTTTACATGCGTAGCAAGGCTTAATTTTTTTTAGTCAGGCTCATTTGAAGGATCGATCTTTCCGTTATAATGAGGTTATTTTTATTTATTTTATATAACGTTTTGTTGCGAGATATAAAGGTTTACAAAAAGGCTTTTGTTTTGAAAATTCTGACGACTGGTTCAAAATATATAATCTTTTTTGTACTGTAAAATTTTATTCGGCCCAATCCTTACATCAAATTAGTCAGGGAATGAACTTTAAAAAAACCGCATGGTCCAGAAAGCTTTCTGAAAAAAGTTTAAAAGTTTCCGGCATTGCTCAAAAATATATACAGTACATTTTCAAAAATAGTCCTTTACTGTAAGCTCATATCTTCAACACCACTTAAGCTAAGACAATGTTTTGATTTTTTTTAACATCTAATAAAAAGCGAATGTGCATTGGAGCGCGAATGCTATAAACAAATTTGTTTGAATACGCATTTGCAATAACTTCAAAATGACATTTTCTTCTCTACAAAAAATAAGTTACGGAACAAATATTGTTAGTGAATAGATAATCTGCCGAAATCTGTAAAAAAAATCTGATTTTTTTAACTTTTGTCCTAAAGTTGCCACAAACTTTTCTAGAAGATTCTTTGATTACAAAAAAAAAGTTGCGGAACAAATGTTAACGAAGTAATATTCTGCTGAAATCCACAATAAAATCTTTGTTTTGTTAACTTTAGTTATAAAACTGTCACACCCATTTCAAGGGGTTTGTCGCCTTATCCGAAAATCTCCCCTAATAAACATTTTTACTGGATGCGTATACCGGAATCCGTAATAAAATTTAAATTTTTGCAAAAACACTTTTTTTGACACCTTGCCACATATACTCGTATACACATTAAAGTGGACCAAATTTTATATGGGGGAAAAATGTTCATTTCAGCAAAGTTTTATTTTACATTTCAGTGCTTTATTTAAGTTTTCCAAAGATCTTATATCTAACTAACTTTTGCATTACCCTTCTTAAGCTTACAAATCATCTCTAATCGCAACACTTCGCCTTCAATTACATACTTTTTTTTTTTGTAATACAATCCTACATATTTTGCTTAAAAATCTAATGCAAAGCATATATGTATGTATATTGTAGATTTTTATTTTCATTTGCAATTTATTTATTTTAAAATATACAATACACTCACACACGACCACCAAATGACGGATGCATGTGATACATGTATATATCTACATACATACATACAATGTTATAATAATATTTATAATAATTATAATGTTAATAAAAAACGATTTTTTGGACATTGGCTGGTTTTGCTTTAGAGAAGCTTTCCATGTTTACTTTAAAAGATTCCATATTTTACTAGCGTTATTGTACGTATGTATTTTTAAGCTACTTTTTGTTTTTCAATGAAAACAATCGGAGACGATTCAGTTCTGCTTTAAGCAATAAATTCAACAAACGAATAATTAATAAAAAAAATAAATAAAATAAAAGACAACAATATGATAAAATATGTATGAAATCTACTAATTAGCACCTTAACTATTTTTTGACATTTTGATTGAATTATGCTTTTGTATACTATTAATTGATTTGTACTGCTAATATACATACTTTTTTAAAAATTAAAAAAATTAAACAAATAATAATTAAATAACTTTAAAATAATTTTTAAACTATATGTATGTATATGCACATTTTTTTTTTTAATAAACCACTTGTGCCATTTTTTTTTTAATAAACTACCGCCTTCGTGACGATGCGGCTATTAGCTACAGATGTTAAACAAAAACAAAACACAGCAAATTAAAATCACCAACACCCGTACGTCCAAAAAATTAACAATTTTTGTTTCAGTGTAATATGAGTGAGTTTTTGTTTTTGTTCTTTAAGTATTAAAAAGTGCTTTTAGGGCGGCTCGCTTCCTCTGCCTCACTGCTGCTTCTCCTCTTGCTCACTTCCAGCGTCTCTTCCTCTGCTGCTATCTACTGATACTCGTCATCGCTGCTCAGCAGCATTGTCTTCTCATTGTAGTTCTGGCTGATGGTGGCTACTCGTTGACCACCTGGCATAAATTTCCTTTGATTACCCAAAGTTTTCGAAGCAATACAACTGGCCGCACTACCGCCAGGTGTACCTGTACTGGCATTGCCCATGCTACCCATTGTACCGCTGTTACCTTGATTGTTGCCATGATGTGTTGCACTGGGCTCATCAGGATCGTAGGAGGAGACACGTATGCCACGTGAATTTTTACCACCTAAATGAGAGTAGGCAAATGCTCATAGCAGCTAAAATATATTATGGGTATGCAAATGATTGCGGAAGTTGGAAAACGTAATGGAACACAACAACAATTTATGATGGATGGTATAAATTTTTTAAAATGCTTATAGCGTCATGCTTTAAAAATAATAAACAAAAGTTATTAATTTAAGAGAAATGAAAAACTAAGATTTTGTAATTTACTATTATTCGATAATCGATTTTTAGCTTAATGATGTTTCATTGTACATACATTTATCATATCCCTATTCTGGTTTTTCCAATATCTTTCTATTGATTTTTTCGTGTTTGTATTATTTTTCTTCTCCTTTCGCCTAATCTAGTTTTTCTTATTATTCATTCTATCCTAAATTATCTTATTCTTTTCCTCGGCTTCTTCTTCTTCGTCGTCCTCCTCTTCCTCTTGTTCATCTTACTCCTTCACCATCTTCTTCTTCTCCCTCTTCTTCTCCGTCTTCTTCTTCTTCTTCTCCCTCTTCTTCTTCTTCTTCTCCCTCTTCTTCTTCTTCTTCTTCTTCTTCTTCTTCTTCTCCCTCTTCTTCTTCTCCCTCTTCTTCTTCTTCTCCCTCTTCTTCTTCTCCTCCCTCTTCTTCTTCTTCTCCTCCCTCTTCTTCTTCTTCTCCCTTTTCTACTTCTTCTTCTTCTGCTTCTCCCTCTTCTTCTTTTTCTTCTTCTCCCTCCTCTTATTCTTCTTCTCATTCTTCCTCCTCTTCTTCGTTCTTCTTCTTCTCCCTATTCTTCTTCGTTCTTCTTCTCCCTATTCTTTTTAATCTTTTGCTTCTCCTTCCTTATCTTTTTTCTTTTTGTTCTTCTTCCTCTCTTTTTTCTTCTTGTTAATCTGCCTCTTTTTTTCTTCTTCTTCTTGTTCATCCTCTTTTTTTTTTCTTCTTCTTGTTCTACTTCCTCTTCTTATATATCTCTTCTTCCTCACCTTCTTAATTATATACTTCTTTGCCTTTTTTATTCATCTAATTTATTCTTTTTCTTTTCCTTCTTCCTCATCAAATTTTTCTTTTTATTATTCTTTCTCTTAGCTATGTACATATTTTCTTCTTACTTTTCAAATTCGTAGTCTTATTCCTATTTTTCTTCGCCTTTTTCTCCTTTTATTTTTTTTTTCTTCTTTGTCTCCTTATTCTTCTTTTCTACACATATTTTCTCTTCTGATTTTTTGCATTCTAGCAAAGCACTTTTTTTTTGTTACCCATCGGACAGCGAATAAAGAAATTATAGATAAAAACGAACTAGGTGTCGAAAATAATTGTATACTCTGAAATCTTTCCTAGTGAGTAGTTTCATTTTGTAACAGCAAACGAATTTCCCAGAGCTGTTGGGGAATGATACTGAAGTTACAGTCCTTGGCCAGATATAAATCTGGTTCGTTCCGGTTACCTAGACTTTCTCTTTTGCTGGTTATCTACGCAAATGTATTCTAAGTGGAAAACTTCTAATAATGGTATTATTGGAGCTCTCCTTATCATTTTTCCCAAAATCGCGGGAGAAATAGAAGAATGAAGTGGCTACCACATGGTTGTAAATATGTCAAACCATGTAAAAAAATAAAATTTCTTAAAATAAATTGTTGCAAACATATGTATGTATGTAACTAAAACAAAATATCGCTAGCTTATAGTGAAAAATTGCTATGGCCACTTTTTCAAAAAAAAATCTGTTTTGTTGCAAGAAGCAAGAACACTTAAAATAGCATCGTGTTCTAAAAGATCGATTTTTTAAGTCCCAAAAAATATAAAAAACTTTGTATTAACATTGTAGAATTTGATTTGTTTGGAGTACACGCAAACTTGTATTAAAATTTTAGTTTGAGTTTGAAAGGCTTTTTTTCTCTCCTATACAATTTTATAAACTGGACTTAGCAACTTTTCACTCTAAGCTAGCAAAAGAAGTTTCCAAATACAGTAAAAAATACACTTTTACTTAATCACACATTTTTATTTAAAACTTTCTAATCAAATTTCATACAATATTTATGTTTTAAATTATACATATTTTTTTAAGTATAAACTTCCATTCATTGTAGCAAATAATTTTTAGTACATCTCAATATGCATAAAATTTTCACATGCGCATTGTAAATATTTATATAAGGCTATCACATAAAAAGCTCAAAAAAAAATTTGTAGTAGGTATGAGTGAAAAACAAAACACAGTACATAAGTAAAATAAATTGCAAAAGCATTCAATTAAATTCATGAAATATACGTGAGAAAAAAAATTGGATTTGGATCTCTTTATTTTTCTACATACACTGCCGGCAAAAAGTATTGGCACAGCGAATTTTGTGAAAAACTCGCGAAAATTCAGCAAATTTTAATCAGATTTTTTAGATTTTTTTGAGTATGCAGATTTGTAGCCCAATCAATTTTATTATAATAAAGTACAAGCTTTTAGTAGCTAGGAATTACTGTTGATTTTTGGCAGTTTTTTTCACGCAGTCTCTTCCATACCTTCAACAAAAAAAATCTTAAAAATCAAAGCGATTTTTGACTAACTCCGAAATTGCATTTTTTAATAGAATTTAATGGGCTACAACACTCCAAAAAATCTGATTAAAAAGCTGAAAATTTGCATGAAAATTTATTGAATTTTCGCGAGATTTGCACAAAGTTTAGAAATTATATTTTTATATTTTTTGTTGTCGAATGAACCATATTTAAAAAAATATCAGAAAAATATTAGAAAGAAATTGGTGCATATATTGTGAACAATTCGCTGTGCCAATACTTTTTGTCGGCAGTGTATATATTTTTGTTTTGTGTTTTGGTTGAGAAATTAATAAGCATTGAAATAAATTGAATGGCAAAAAAAAAATTAAAATTTATGTTATCTTGCATAAGATAAGAATAATAAGAAGCTTTTCTTCAGAATGGAAATTGAAGGACTAAAAAAAATGTCACAAATTAAAATAAACCATCTTGAATGTGCATACGGGCGTTTCCAGCGGAAGGTCTATAGCGAAAAAATAAGTCATATATCGAACTTATTTATGAGCCAATTTTGCTAGTTTTATAATATATACTCGTTATGTAAGCAAAAACGTTTCTGCGAAAAATGGTCTCGCTAGGTGGCGCCGGGATCGAGATATTTCGGAAAGCCGTATCTATGCTCTACAACAATTTTTTATTTGCGTTTTAAATTTATTTAAGAAAAATATTAACGAAAGATTTGCAATAGATGTTTTAGTAACGTAACACAATGTAACGTCACCTCAGATATTTCGGCTGATAAAAAAAGCAGTAAAGATTTTTACATTTAAAAACTTGGAAAATATACTTTAAAATTTTCAAATATTACTACAAATAATTCTATACGTTGCCCCATTCGCAGTTTTGCAATTTTGTAACCGAAGTCAATACCCATTTATGTTGTCACGCCAGCGCATATGTTGGCTTATATCCGCTAAAATCTCTACTATCAATTGTTGCCATTTTTTACTGAATAAAGAAAGTGCTACTTAATTACTATGCTAATATTGAACAACCTTTTTAAAATTTCGAATTTTTTCATTTTATTTTTAAACATTTGGTGATCTAAATGTTACGTCACGTCAGATTGGAAATGCCCATATGTATGTACATATGTACATATGTGTATATATCTACTGAATACATTTGAACTACATCATTCATAAGATTTCTAAAATGCAGCTGCTGGTAGAAATTCAAAAAAAAAATAAAATAAATAAATTTCGAAAAAGCGCACAAGAACCATAAGTCAAAAAATTTCCTAAGTAACGACTGCCTTTTAATTATTTAACATTAAGCAAAATCAGTTTGTGTTCAAAAAAATAAATAAAAAAAAATTGCTTCTAAACTAAAACTAGAAAATGCGTAAAATGCAAATGTTTCCATTTTAAAGAGCAACACGCAGCGATTCTAATTTCGTAAGTGGAGAACCCAGATAGAAATACCGAGTTTCTTATTATATTTGCGTCGATAGCTCATGACGCCAAGTTTCCAAAATTGTAGAGCAATACAATTTTTAGTGCAGCTTTATTATTTACCGAACACAGCAAATTCAAAATAAAATCCAAAAAAGTAAACTGACAACTAACGGTGTGAAAGTTGTTAAGTACTGGTTTAATGAAGTGTACAAAACCAACAAAAAAATTTAATTGACTAACTGATTGAACCAACAATCTGTACTATCATTTGTATTTTTTTTACTTTGTAAAAGTTAAAAAAGTATCTTGAGCTTTACAAAAAATATATTTTAAAATAGAAAATGTGTACAAAAATAGTTACAATCGCAATAAATATTCAATATGTCGCTTGATCCATGCTTGAAAAATTAACCAGTTAAATTTGGGTACCCAAGAACCTCAGTAACGCTCCACAAATAATAGTATTACTTGGTTTTATATGTATAAAATGTCTTTTTCTTCCTATTTTGGACAGTCGCTAAGTACTTTTTTGCCTAAAGATAGATGGGCATTTTATTAAAAAAAAAAGTGGTTTATAACTACATAAAATGTGTGTAAGATGGTATATAAAGAATTAAAAAAAAATAAGCTAACTAGCAGGTTAAGAGACGACGAAATTCTCTAAAAATGTTTTACATATGTTGTGCCAGTAAAGAAGCATTTTAATACATATATTATGCCTAGGGTTCCTTTTGTTTGAGTAGACCAACCCAAACACTCCATTGTGCCAAGAGATTTGGCTTGGTGTCCCTCGAAGGCATTGCTATGTGAGCAAATATGGATGTGTTTGGAGAAAATTTTGGTTTAATTTGCAATAAAAATCTTAAAAGTTGTTAGCCAAAAATGCTTGTTTGCGCAGGTGTATATTGAGCTAGTAAATAGACGCTTTTGTGCTTTGCTACAGATTATAATCAGCACACGTACAAACTTATAACATTAAAAAAAGAAAAACACAAAAAACAGGGCTATCGTCATATACATACAAGTATGTATGACGCCTTTGCAATATAGACATTCATGTATGTGTGTATGTGCTATTCTTCATATAAACTTAAGAGCTATGCAATGTTTCACTTAAAAAAATTTAATTTTTATCATAAACAGCGTTTTAAGACGGTTTTGTTTTGCAATTCATATAGGTATGTATGTATAAATATGTAGGTAGTATATGTGTTTATAACTATTATAAGGCAATTGTGGTATGCGAAAAGCACTTCGTAAAGGCATTTTCTAAACGCAACAGCACTATAGAAAAAATATCGTTTTAGAATTCATATCGTTTCATATCTTATTAGTTATGGTAAGTACTTTTTTCTCCTCTTTCAACGCGCTCTCATCTCTCTCTATTCCTCACAACATTAAATGTCTTCGTCTCGGCACATTCATTATTAGCAGAACGAATGTCATGCATTTTAAAGTTTCTCATAACGTTGAGACGAGGTAACTTCTGTAAAAAGAATAGAAGAGAAAAGAAACAAATTTGAAGAAAAACCTAAGATGGTAGCGAAAACAAATTATATTTAAAAAAAAAACAAACAATGCACTAAACGCAACTTCAACCGAAACCAAATTAAAAGAAATGGAAACAAAAAAAAAATATTGTACGTAAAACGAAACGCATTAGATGGGTATGCAACGATTACGAGTGCGGTTTGAAATAATATACATACAGATGTTTAGGTGGAGTGTAATTAGAAAGAAGGAAGAAGGAAAAATAGTTTGAATAAAGGGTTTTCAACGCCCCATACCTAAATGCTAACAACTAACCAGAAAGTGGGCGTTTGGTAAAAAAAGCGATTATGTAAAAGAGCAAGGTTTGATGCAGTTTTTTTATAGTGGTTTATGAATTTATAGACAGCATGAATTTATAATAGCGGGGGTTAGCGACTTGCATTGATCGGGCAATATTTATGTATGATAATGAGTGCTGTTAAATGTTTCAGTTTTTTTTTTAGTGTTTACATAGCAATACAATAATAAATTAATTACAGGCGCAATGCATAAATATTTTAAAGCCAAATGAAACATGCATACGTATGTATATGAATAGTATGGTATTCGAGAAAACAAAACAAAAGCGACTTACCGGAACTGTATTGCGTATATTGTTGGTATTGTGGATGAAAATTGTGTATAGCATCTGTCATAATATCCTTGGGATTCATTGTTTCCTGCAAACACAATAAAATGTATTAATTTAATCACTTTCAAATTATATCCATGAGTTTTTGATATACTTTAAGACTGCTTGAAATCGATTGCATTGTTACAGAGCGACCTTGACCGTCGGCAATACAGCTGCGCGCATATACCTGAAATTAGATGAGGAAGAAAATTGTTAATTGAAATTTGAAAGATTAAAATAAATAAACAATTTAAAATTTCTTAAAGAAAACGTCAAAAATATGAAATTATCTTAATATAAAAAATCCCGCGTCACTGTGTTCGTTTACGCTTATCTCCGAAGCCAATTCATTGAAATTTTGTGTGGTGTATGGTTGGTTCCAACTTAAAAGATAGGATACACTAGACGCGGGAAAATATTCGCGATCTAAATGACATAAATACACTGGTTTTGAGATTCCTACTTAGTTTTAAAATTATGTACTTGTAGCTCAGACAATAATCTTCATTCCCGATGCCCACAAACACTCCTCCTGCAATGGCTTTTCAAAATTCTTCAGTTTGCCAGGCTTGCTGAAATAACTTGTTTTAGCACGTGTGACTGTACTTTTAGCCTAAAGTAGGCTTATAATTTTTAATTCGTTGCAAAGTAACCAGGGACCAAAAATAAGCGGCTCAAGGCCGGAGTTAAAAAAAAATCGCAGTCGACTGTGGGGCTATTCAGCGATATTGGAGTCGAAGTATTGAAAACAAATAAACCTAGCCGTGTGATCATTAAAAATTTATGCAAAATATTTCTATATTAAAGTACCTACTTTTAAATACAGTGGTGGCCACATAATTAGGGGCTCTACTGCTTTACAAGTTAGACCATTTATTTATAATTAATTTTTTTACAAAAGCAGCGTTTATACCGAAAACTATGTAAATTAAAGTTTCAAACCTTAAACGAGATTTATAAAAATTCGCCGCATTTCAAAAAAATTGCCCTAAATTTTTCACAATTTTTCAGAATTTCGGTAATGCAGTTTTGTATGTTAGTCCATTCAATTTTAGTATAATACTATGCAAGAGAAAATTAGTAACACCGCCAGCAAAAAAAAATCTCAAAAATCAACGCGATTTTTTTCTAGAAATTCTGGTTAAAAAGTTGAAAATTTCTATGACCATTTTCAAAAATTTGCCGAATTTGAGCTTTGAGTTGCAGGGTTTCCGTTATGGTATAAACTATATTTTTGTAAAAAAAATGTATTAAAAATAAAGAAAAATAGTCAACACTTGTAAACAGTAGTGTCCGTAAATATGTGGCCATTATAATTGCTAATTTTACGGGCAACTTAGCAAACTTGTTTCCCCCTATAAACGTTGACATCGCTCACTCTTCGATTACCATACAGGCCATTAGTTAATTAGCATAAAATCAAACATTTGCTTTCGATATTTACCAATAACGCTTATGGCTGTTAAAAAATAAATAATAATAGTGCAAATATCGCTAAGATATAAAGATATCATGCGAAAAGCGCACACAAATGTTAAAGAATAATGGAAATCAAAAGCAAATAAAAGAAGAAAAAATACTACTAAATACGCGCCACGCTCCAATGCCTATCTACATTTCGCTTCGCCCATAAACACTCAATTTCAATTTATGTGCAACCTCCACTTTCAATTTTCACTCTCCGCTAGTCTACATTCAGACTTCACACTTTCTACATGCTGAGCTAGTAACAGCTGTACACCAGCCAACAATCGCAAACTTCGAAGTGTTAATTGCTTGCGAAATATTATTATTATTTTATGTTTATCTTATCAATGGCAATAATACATGCATACATATGTTGAGCGAGCAAATGACTGGCAAATGTTAACACTGGAATACTTAGTTGTAGCAATAGTTGAACTATGTCGATAGTACTCATGATTGTAACCAACTATTTTACAAAGAAAACTAATTATTCAAATAAGTGAAGTAAATATATGTTGGTTTTGCTCACCTGATAGGGGAAGGCATAGCGTAACGCAATCGCAGCAAATAGCATTTCAATGCAAATGAAAAAGTTCTGATAGCCCGCCGAGACAGTACCAGCTGAGGTGTGAGTGCCAGCACTGTCGACGATCGGCGAGATGACCTTGGCCTTCTCCAAAATGGCCAACATCACACCTGGCGAGAGGCAAAAGCAAATAATTAGTAAACAAAAAACAAAAGGCAACAATGATTTCAGATGACTCACCTTGCCAAAATGATAAGAAGATAATCGATTTGATTGTACAGAACTTCAGCACAGGCTCAAAGGGTGTTAACAAATCACGCGTAGCAAAATAGAATAAGTACAAGCCGTAGAGGGCAAGAGTAACGGATATATTGTAGATGACAGTAATGTAAATATAACCACCATTGGCGCTGTAAAATATATCGTAGTTTAGCAATTGACTGTACAATCACGAATTTCAATAAGTAAATAGAAAAATTTTACCTCCAATCACCATCATGATAGTGGCCAAAAGCTTGCAGGAATATAATAATAAACGCCACAAGCGGCTTCACCAAGCAGAATTGCAATGTAGCCTGCTTGCAGAAGCGTAGGAAGCCGATGGTATATGTTTTACCTCTTAGGCAGCAAGTGCCATAAAGACACGAACTTTTAATGGGTTTGCCACGTATCTCGGACATAATGTTGCCCTCGCCACCAAGGTACTCGTAGCATAGCGACAGGAAACTGTAGATGACAAAAGCTAGAAGAGTGAAGAAAAACGAGAAATATTTCATATACATACATTCTACTTTATGTAAAAATAGCAAATGCACCGCTGCAGGCGCTGCAGACTTACCTTCATAGCAATCACGTACGGTAAAGAAATACACGTACACATTATCTGAATTGAAGAAAAATAAACTGATCCACGAGTATGTCGCATACATGGGCACAATAAATAGGATACGTACTATCCAACGTTGCTCCTGTGGATTTGTATACCAACGCAGGTGTTGATAAATCTATTTGTTAAAGAAACGTTTAGAGCAAAAGAAAAGCATAAAGGTTATAAGTTAAGCAAACCAGTTAATAGGTTAAGTCAAATAGTATTGCCCACCTGTTGGCATGTGATAAAGAGTGCCGCCCACACGAATACAGTCGCAAGTCCTTGAGCGGTCTTTGTTTGCAGGAAGATACCATCACCGACATGACTGAGCGGATCAATGGGCGACGACATTGGTTTGGCTTGTACAATAAAATTCGGTTTTAAGGTTGTCGATTCGGTCATCATCGATGCGACGGCTGCAGCTGCGGCTGCTGCTGTGCCATTCGGGTCAATGAAACTGGCTGGACTGGGCGCTGTGCTACTCACAACGCTGCTCATACTGTGAGTGGAACAATAAATCAGCCGATTAATGAAGGAAAGTAGCCGTAGGTGATGCCGGAAAAGAGAAAGAAAAAACGTAAGTTGATTAGTAAGTTTTCATCAATGAGTAAGTATTTCAATTTATATATATTCTGCTGCAAACTTTGTTGTTTTGGTGTAATCGATAGCTAAATAATAAAGTATTATACTACATACATTTCATATCCCACTGGGAAAATAGGTAAACACCTTACGAGGTAATCAATGTTTTCTTTCAGCTTTCAGTACCAAAATTGTCATCATGACCAACTTCATCTATTAGTAAACCACAAATTGAATACCTCCGATGACGCCTTACATTGTAGGTTGCAAAATACCATGCCGCCGAAGTTATTTCCGAGCGCCTGCTTTACACACATGTCTGATACCAAATGTACATTATAAATTTCTACTTCCAACAGGGCGGCCACGCCTTTGTTAGAGTAAGAGAGATTCGGCAGGAAAGTGGCAAGGACCGCCAAAGGAAGTGTAAGTTGTTGGTAAGGCATTACTAAGTGATCCTATTTCCTATGGGTGTTGTACGATTAACACATAGATTTCGGAATTTTACATTCTATGTTTGGTTAGTACATGTGTCATTTGTGCCGTCGTTTAATCGCTTAAAAGAGTATTTGCACCCGCCGAATAGGACCAGAGCCCTTCCTTGCTATAAGACGGCATACTATCAGGGAAGAATTCAGAGCAAATGAGCAGTAATTTATAGGATGTAATGTAGGCCAGCAGTTTATAGGATCTCCTAAGGCTAGGCACATTTACTCTCCGAAACTTCTGTAATTGGAGCTTTAGGACTAGGCGAGGTCTTGTGATGAGATTTGAGAGCACAATAGCCCAAAATTCGTAGTACAGTTCGTTCGTTATAGCTATCTAAAGGGTGACCCATAATTTACGCAAGAACGTAAATGTGAATGCCGTCATAGGACCATTCTTTTTTTAAATCAAGAAAATTTCTACGAAAGTGCGTGTTTTCCAGTAAAGCCGCTATTCTTTTTGATTTAATTATATAGTTTTTGTGAAAATATGCGTTTAGGAGAAGATTCCACATCTTCTGAACAAGGTAAAGAGAAACCTAGCTGATTTTTAGCTCAAAAGGTAAAATCAGAAACAGGATCCACAAACGAAGTGTTTGAAAATTAAAATTACATATAAAAGTTGAATTTTGAGTTCAACTTAAACTTTGTAATGTAATGCCTGGTTTTCATTAGGCCATATTTGATGTCAACTGTTGTCAAAATAATGAAAACAGGTGGTCACCTCGTCTCNTTAAACTTTGTAATGTAATGTCTGGTTTTCATTAGGTCATATTTGACGTCAAATGTTGTCAAAATAATGAAAACAGATTTGCGTTTGTTGTCATATATGACCAGGCACGGTCATATGAAATGACAGCTCAGTGAAAACTGCCCTTAAGATTCTGATCCCCCAAACGAAGGCTTAAAAACGCATTATTTGCTGCTCTTACGCCAAGGCGTCCATTAAAGAAAGAACGTCTTATTGAATGAAAAATTAACTTGCGCTTAAAACCGAGCTTCACAAGTAAAAAGTTATCTGCTTACCTAAAAACAGCATGCAATGAAATAAAAAAAATGCGTTTTCGGTTCTTGCAGGCTTGGAAATGGATTACTTGATATAAGAACAGCAAAAATATGCGTTTAAAACTTTTTAAACCCGCATTTCATAATAGTTTCAGGTAAAAAAAAAATAAAAATTTAAACCTATTTTTGAAGGTCAAGGAAATTGTTTTATTCAACGTAAAATTTTTCCTGAATTCTCCATCTGAAAAACTTTTAATGTCGTTATATTTCGTTATTTCGCGATCACTTCTCGTTCTCGAGATATTTGATTTTGTCGCTTTTTTTCTAAAATAGAATACAGTGCGACGTTTTGAATTTCCCTTACACCTTCGCCGGAATCAAAAATTGTGTGTAAATAATAAAAAAGCAAGGAAGGCAGAAAATATTGGAATAAAAACTTTGAAGCAAAAACTTTTTGCTTAAAAATCTTCGATTTAATTTTAGGAACTTAATAGATAATTTTGGAGTGTGGTATGAATCAATTTAAACACTTTTTAAATATAAAGAAGTTTTTCCAGAATATGATTTTTTGTTTGTTTTTCATTCGAGACACAACAATTTCGAATATATTAACAATAGGTGTGAGAACTGAAGGTCATTTGGGGAGTCAAGTCCTGAGACTGTATTAATAGCGTCCGTCTATACGACAGAAATATGTAGCCCATTTCGACCATGTCTTTAGGTTAGATTTTGGGGGCACATGCGAAGAATGCCATACATAATTGCCCTCCATAAATTCTGAAGGGTTATACAGCTCTGGCCAAGAGTATATGAACGTATAAATGCGTTACCTAATTGAACCAGGTGAAAATCAAAAGGAGCGATGGTTATTCCAAAACTTCATCTTCTACACTTTTTTACGGATCGCGGTGAATTTGTTTTTCTAGATTCAAAAAAGAAAAATTATTTTGAAACAACCACCGCTATTTTTCCTCGCACACACCACAGAGTTTTAAAAGTTGCTAAGTCACTTTAACTTTACTATATTTGTTTTCTTAGAATATTTAAACTATATATGTATGTATTTACAGTATAGACACTATCTATACAATCGTGTGACCCAACAATCGAATGTCAACATCAAATCTCCTTTATATTAACACTGAAGTATCAGATTTATTTACTACTCGAAACAAATATTTACATATAATTTCTGATTAACTAGAAGCGAATACCGTTTCGTCAGAAAACAGTATTTTCTTATAATCTACATTTCACAAATTTTAATACTTTGATAAGAATGTCGTAAACTCAANGGTTATACAGCTCTGGCCAAGAGTATATGAACGTATAAATGCGTTACCTAATTGAACCAGGTGAAATTCAAAAGTTGAAAAAGATGGTTATTCCAAAACATCATCTTCTACACTTTTTTACGGATCAAGGTGAATTTGTTTTTCTAGATTCAAAAAAGAAAAATTATTTTGAAACAACCACCGCTATTTTTCCTCGCACACACCACAGAGTTTTAAAAGTTGCTAAGTCACTTTAACTTTACTATATTTGTTTTCTTAGAATATTTAAACTATATATGTATGTATTTACAGTATAGACACTATCTATACAATCGTGTGACCCAACAATCGAATGTCAACATCAAATCTCCTTTATATTAACACTGAAGTATCAGATTTATTTACTACTCGAAACAAATATTTACATATAATTTCTGATTAACTAGAAGCGAATACCGTTTCGTCAGAAAATAGTATTTTCTTATAATCTACATTTCACAAATCGTAATACTTTGATAAGAATGTCGTAAACTCAGAGTAACTAAGCAAAAATAGTTGTGTTCAATAACAAAATTAGCCAACACCAGCCAACAATCAAGATCAAGAGCGTAAGCGAAAATTCTCTCCCAAAGAGAAGAAAAAGCAAAAAAGCATACATAATAACAAGGTGTTGTCAGTAGCGACGTGTTTGTTGTAATTTTGACAAGATCGGCATGCTTATTTTCAGAGCTGCCGATCTTAATTTTTATACTCCATTTTAGTAATTCGTTTTATCGCGATTTTTAAAGAACTTGTTGTCTTCAGAACGATATTAATATTTAAAATTGTTGGATTGGTATAATTTTTGCCCTCAAAATGTAAAAAAATAAAAGATATCGTGGTTATCAATGGAAAATGACGTACACAAAAATCATATGGTAAGGCGATGTTTTATATTAAATAACTTTTGCTGCATTGTCATAATATCAAGCCAAATGGACTACTGCCACACTAGAATAGAGTGGCAGCATGGTTAAATTGCGCTTATATTTTTGATATTTATGTGTTTTAAAAAATCATTACAGCCTTATAGGAAATTGTCATATTTTACGGCCTTTACTTTTTTACAAGTTACAATATATGTCCAAGCTGTAAGGAGCTGCCGATACCAACCTCCTACATTCAGGCTTATAAGCCTGTAATTATACATTTTTCTACATTTAATTTGAAATAGTATCAACCAACGGATTAAAAGTAGTAAATAGCCAGTACTTTTTCTACTACTTTAAAATGCGTGACCGGAATAGACCTGCGGAAAAAGTGAGGTTAAGTTACTGACAACACCTTGGCAAAAAAGTGAACGAACAGTAAATTGGAAAAACCGGGAAGAAGAATACACACCAGCTGACTTTGTTTATGTTTTATTTGTAAACAAACTGAAATTCATGTTGCCGCCATGGAAGAAAAAAAGAAAGTGCGCGTTCAATGTTCGGCAGGAAGTAAAAACTAGTTAGCACTATCACAAAGTCACATAGCAGGCAGCCAAAACTTGTAAAAATTAGGAAAAACTATTAAAAAACGTTGTGTTGTCAAACGCAACTAATAGCAACGTTAGGTCAACACAAATAAAGTATAAAAAATATAATTATGCAAACTTACACAGAGAATACACTTTTTATGTTTTACACTGGCTGCGTTTCTTTATACATTCCGGATAATNTACATTCCGGATAATCCCATTTCACAGCCAGAATAAACAGAATGCGTTTGAAATATACGTTAACATATCATCAGGAACGTTCTAAAGAATAAGCAAACAAAAAAGTTTATTCCAAACGTTCAGAATGAATAAAGAAATTCAGCCACTATAATACATACTATGTACATACAGTTGTCCACAAAATAATAGGAGTGCGATATTTTGACCAGTTTTGGCTATTTGTCTTTTGTTTATTTAATGTTTATTATTTTTTTATAAAAGCCTAGCTGGC